TACTCAGTCAGTAAGTGTGCAGCAAAAAGCACTTTTTCTTTATTTTACATATAACTTGTCATTTTTACATTTTAAACACAAGATACATTTGTTTAATTTGGACAAATACAAACTAGCTAGCCAAGTTAACCGTATCCCATTTTATATTTAATAAACATATCCTGGCTGCAGTTGTACTTTTAATGAGACGTGAGTGGTTTTAAAATCTAGGCATGTTAGTCTTAACTTAGTCAAATAAAACAGGACCTTTTTCAGTCTAGTTTTAGTCAACATATTATATTGAAAATGTCAGTCGATCTACTCCAAACCAAAAAAAAGTATAAGATTTCGTGTCCTCTTCTTTTTTAGACTTAAAGTTTTATTTGAAAAACTGCATTTTAGTCACATCTTTTTTTTTGTCAACAATAGTCATAGTTAGTGTTTAATGACGTCGATGTCTTCATCTCGTCTTATTTGTGGAAGAAAAGGACATTGAAGAGATATTTTGTCAAAGTGTTCATTGGTAATATAAACACTGGTGAGCTGAGGACAAGACAGAGTCTGTACTAGGGTTAGATTATCTTACAATGTGTTCCAGTTAAATACCAGAAGATTTTTTAACGGCATTTATTTTACATTTAACAACAGGAATGCTCTGTATGTAATTTACATGGCCTGCATTAATTATAAAAAATGTCATCACATTCTAATGATATTGCAGTTTTTTACATGCTGGTCAACTGCTCCACACAGATTCCAAGTAAACATACTTTATTTTTCAGTCTTGCCAAGGTCGTATCCAGCACTGCCAGTCCTGATGTATATTACATGTTTACATGGGTTTCCTTTCGAGCTGCAGCTCTGCTCAGACATCAACACAGCTGATTGCTTGTTTCCAGAAAGCAGTCCATCTTTCGTTGCACTGACTTTTGCCGCTAGCTGCTAAAAGCAGTGGCGGGCCGTGCATTTTGTACCTGGGCCTTCTGTGGTGTCCTACTACACTTGAGCCATCTCCTAATAAGCTCATTATGACGACACAGCTATGGTTATTTGTTTCTAGGGGTGTAATAATACACGTATTCATATTAAACCGTTCAGTAGGAGGCTTACGAACCGAACAATACGTTTGAATAATACTAGTGCATTTGGAAAATGCAGAAGCTTAAATTGAGGGAAATATAATGTTTTCGGTGGACTGCGCTCACGTAACAGACAACGGGCTGTGACCTCTGAACCGGAACAATAACAAAAAACAGCTGAGGCCCCGCACGTGTCTTCAGGAAGGCTAAGCTAACTAGCTTAGCGGGGAAACAACAGCCCGAACGGATTCAATTGTCCGGACAATAACCCCGCGCATGACGGGATGCTTTGTCATTAATGGACAATGCATATAGTCCAAATCAATGTAATTAACACAATGACAAGAACAAACTCACAAGAACCAGTCACATATATTTATATGACAACAAAGCAATAAATCAATGCAGCAACACTGCAGCGCTAGAGCACGAGCCATTCATATTATTCATAAAAACGACACGATAGACAAATGAACACAGTAGTAACGATACTGCAGATGTAAAAACGCAAAAGCACTTCATTTACCAAAGCTGCTGTTCACTTAAAGACAAAGTCCATCCTTCTTTCTTTGTTAACAAAGAGTTTAATGACGCGGTTGTTCAGAACATCGGTGCGGTTCAGTTCCAGCCGGAGTCCTCCTGCGAACGTGTTCGTTGAGTTGTAGATCCACTCTGGTCTCTCCAAAAGTTTTCAAAAGCACGTAGCTTGTGCGTGTCCTGTCGTGTAGCTGCCTTGGTTAGCGTAGCGTAGCTCCAAACACCAAGAGCTCAGTTGCAAATGAAACGCATTCTTAGCCATAAAATGTGCAACGCTTCTCTGACGCTGTCAGCCAGAAATACCGTTCCATGCTGTAAAATGATAAAATAGCTATAACTTTGTGATTCAGTTTAGGCCAGCAGAGAAGGCTTAGCTGGCCCTGACGGCCCACCACTGGCTAAAATATCATAGAAGTGCGTAGACACTGAAACAACAAAATATAGCATGCTTAAATATAGAACAGCCTCATGACAAGCTGCTATGCCAGCTCCAAACCGATGAATTGTTAAAGACAAAACAACTCTGATATTCTCACCATGTTCTGTCCTGATGTCAGATTCAGATAAATATATTTGTCTTCATATATTCAATAATCTTAATGCATTTGCTATTATTATTGACAGTGTTTGGATTTGTGCTGTATGAACTGCCCTCTTGCATGTACTTCTGCATCAGCTTGTGTTTTTCTGTTACCCATAATGCCTTTAGACAACCCGTAGGGTTGAGGCATCAACATGCCATGCCAGCATTTAGCTGTTGGTTTAGTGAAGACAGTAGTAGTAAAAGTACAGAACCAGCAACAAGAGAGAACAAATGGTCCAAAGATATAGATAGCTATTTAGAACCACTGTTTATTTTGCTCCCTGTTTTTCATGTATTTTTAAAAATATAAATGATATTATATTAGCATTACATTACAGCACTGCATTGCTACAAAACAGCTACAGAATGTCATTCAAAGTTCAAATTAACAAGCTGCTGCTTCCTCAGTTATTTTTCTCTACCAAACAACATCATTTTGTAGTTCCAATATCGACCTTACATAAAACATTGAAATCCATTGAAAGTCATCACAGATGTGTAGCAATGATTTGTACTAATATGCATGTCATGTGCAATTATGTCTGATCTCAAAACAGAAACGTCCTTGTTCTCCTTTCAAGCAAGTTTCTGTGTCACTTTTCTTTTTTCTTTTTTTTTTTTAAACTTTTTGTTCAGTTAGCTGTCATCAACGTGAGCTTCTATTGCATTTACTTCAATCCTAAAACATGAATGCATGCTGCAGGGAGAAAGAAGACCAACCGTAGTGCTGCTACCACTGATCTCATTACAGAGACCGCTCTCTCAGCATGTGATAACTTAATGACCGTACTCCATCCGGACACATCAAAAACACTACTTTAACCACAGAAGGCTTCTTTGAACCAGCATGGCACCGGACGGTACAATAGTCCTCATGAGGACACGGAGATGAGTCCCACAGCAATTACACTGTGCGTCACTCACTTTCACTGTCTCTCTCTGTGTCCTGGTCTCACTTTGTTTTTGTCCTTCTTGACTCCATTATTGCTCCATGTCTGCCTTTTTATGCTGCTCTTCATCACTGCCCATTATCTGTCTCTTTACATGTTGCCCCTTTTAACCTTGGTTCTCTTTGTTCATGTGAACGTTGCTATCGTTAGTATGCAGTGGGACTAGCAAAATTAAGATTCCTGAATACAAATGTATATATTGTAAGCAATGTCTCCTTACACAACGGTTAGTCAGATATCTTAAAGTTACTCTTTATTTATTTTCAAATTTTCAATGAATGTCTGGCAACAAAACCACTTGGTTAGGTTTAGGAAAAGGCAACGTAGCATTAGTCAATGTTGACTTTTGTTTTCCCACAGGACATGGAGAGCGGTGTCCTGTGGGTGACAGTCTGGTATTTTAAGAGCCAGCAACCCTCCCTACATGGACCTTACCACTCTTTATCCTTTGTCACCTGTAGGGGCTCACAATTACATGCAAATTGATATACAAAAGCTCATAATTTGTGTAGGTATCGCTAAGAGCAGTGTGTGAGAACAGCCTGATGAAAGTTGTCCTCTTCCAGTTCTCTGTTCTCTGTCTAAATAACTGCTCAACCTTTACGAGAATCAATCAATTCAAGATCTTTGGGAGCGTCGTAAGCATAAGTTGTGAATATCTCTCCAGAAATGAAATCTAAGGTTCCAAATATTCACTCATGGTGATTTTGCACCTGCAGCTCAAGGATGTCTGCTTCCCTTCCCTGCCATTTCACATCAGTTTGAAACTGTTAGACAACAAAACAGTAGTAATTGTAGAGTGTGTTACTTAAAAAAAGAAGAAAAAACAAAACAGAACACAGTTGATTTGATTGATCGTGACTGATTTGAGTCCCTCCCACACTTTAACTCTTCCAATCCAACCCGGTGAAATTACCCTGTCACTCACCATGATCTGTCCACTTACACCATGCACCACTGACCACACTTTGTGCTACTGTGTTACTGATAATGACCGAACTGAACGAATCCACAGAAATAGGCTTTGCCATTGTAAAGGAAACCTCCAGAATGCTGCAGAACTGACTGTAGATTCCCCAAAGACTGTATGATTACCAGTAGGGCCTCTGTGTGACGCTGTACGACTGCTACTAGACAGACATGACTCCCGTCAATAAGAGCTAACTAATTAACTGATTTTGTCTCCCTAAGAATCCTAGTAAAATGACACATCATGGAAATATGTATCTGTTGCCGGCCTCAGTATTTAAGTTGTGTGCGTAAGGTCGCTCAAGCGATGTAAACCTAACCATGTAGTTTTGTTTCAGATCAAAATATGAATCATGTCTAAAGCTGCAACCTTTTCTTTTGAAAGTGCAGCTTTCTTATTTTGCTCTATCTAAAGCATTATAATGGAAGTGATAACAAATGATAACACTCAGAGCGATGTTATCACAGGCTGGCACAGATCAGGACATACTGAAAGTATGAAAATTTACTTCATTTTTTTATACCACCTTATTTTTTTTGACTAGATGTCATAAAATTTGACCATCTGCTTGGAAGTATTCATCTGGCCGGCTCCTCAGTGATCATGCACAGCTTCATCAGCTTGTTCTGAGCAGACAGGTGTGGAAGCTCCCATGTTCCTGGTGGAACATAGCTCCAATCAAAACAGCTCCATTATTTAACAGCTTACAAGCAAACAGCTTGTGTTCTGAGATTACGGCTTCAGATAATGTTTGTTTATAATGACCAGTGCTATATTGTACAGTCATTCAGAAACATGTCAGCCATCTAAGCTGCTGTACAATAGGGGTGGGAATCACCAGCGGTCCCGCGATACGATATTATCACGATACTTAGGTCACGATACGATATTATCACGATACTGCGATATTATCACGATACAATATCGCCACGCAAAATATCGCGATACTATGCTGTATCGATTTTTCCCCCACCCCTACTGTACACTCAACCAGCCTAACATACATGCGAGGGTATAGTATTTTACTTTTAAGAATAGAAGCCAAATTTGTTATTTTTCTTGATTTTTATTGATTTAAAAAGTCCAATATTTTCCATATTGTGAGGAATATCTCCCAGATTTAAATCTGCCTCAGGTCCTTTCATGTGTCATCTGTCTGTTCTGGCTAAACACATTTTGAAAAAATGTTTTCGACTGATATTGCAATTGATTATGATTTGAAATTTGCAGTTGGCCATATTTATATTTATTATGCAGCCCTACTGTCTGTAATAATTGTAATAAGCTTCTTAATTGTTCACAAATGAGGTAGAATGAACACTGTAAATATATAATAATACCTGGACGGAATGAACCAACATGTTGTAATGATCTGCTGCATTTGTTAATACCTTATTAGATATTGCAGTGATTATTAAAAAGTTGGGTGTTGCATTTTTTTATGAAAATTGAATAGTGCATTATGTATTAACCAACCAACATGGATGTCTTCAATAAAAAAATAATTTAAAAAGATACAATTAATTATCTACATTATTATCATTATTATTATTATCATTATTATTATTGACCAACACCACAAGTGTCACTGTATCCCTTAGCTCTCTTGAACACATCTTGAAACATCCTCTGCAATAAGTAATGATTGATAACAAAATGTAGGGAAATGTATAACATATTGCAGGAGATCTCTGCAAAATGTGGCAGTTACATAAGGAAGTTCAAATGTATTACCTTCTGTCTAGTTATAATGCAGTGTTAATAAATACTGTGTTGTTAAACTTTGTTTTTTGACAGAGTAAGGCTGAGTAAGCCTGTTAACAACATGTGGCCTACATGCATTCATGTATGTACACGTTAATAAAGTGAGGCACAGACGGTGGATAATTGTAAGTGGGTAAGTGGGTAACACTTTCTACCTTAAGAAGGCCACAGATCCACCATCTTGTTTTTCTTTGCTTTTCATTGTTTTCTTAAGCAAAGCTCCAGATTGTCTGGGTCTTGGTTTTATAATGGTGATTCTCCATGCTGTATATAATGGTGATTCTCCATGCTGTATGACTAACATGTAAGCTTCTGTAATCTCCCAATTTAAAAGCACTCCCCCATTGTGTCTCTGTGCGTGCTACACGTCTGAGGAAAGGAGAGGTTAGAGTGCACATGTATCCGTGTAGTAAGTAGAGGAGGAATGTACACTAAGTGATAATGCAGCCTGCTGCCAAGAAAATGACATTAACACCCAGACCTTATCAAGGACACTGTCAGCAACTGTCTCTCTCTCTCTCACACACACACACACACACTCACACAATCTTACACACTCTCATACAAACATGTATAGACACTAAAAAGCGTGCACACATCCAGGGAGGGAGAGGCTGGGAGACAGGGAGAGAGACAGAGGGAGGAGGAGGGCATTATCTTGATGAAACAGTGCTTGATACAGCAGCCCGGGCCAACCTGAACACAGCTCTGCCTTCTTTTAATGGAGATTACACAGTCATGGTCTAGCTTGAGCTCATCTTGTTTAACACTGCATGCAACTACATCACTGTACGTGTGTGTGTGTGTGTGTGTGTGTGTGTGTTTGTGACAGCATGTCTGATCTAATATGCTCCTATCTCCTTACACATCAAGCCTCGTTACCGCACAGCTTCTGACCCCAGATCTGGCAGCCGATCACATCACCAAATCTTGCTGACCAATGAGAGCACACATGGATGGACCATGGAGTGTGGAGCAACACTACCTCGGTATCGACATCACAAGGTCTACAAATCACATGGCTCATTCAGCGTTGTAGTAGCACATATGTTTTTGCTAATACCTGCAAATGTTCAGTCAGAGGAAGACTTCCACTTATGGTTTTTAAAATTGCCCTTAAATTTACCTCCAGGTATCGTTGAAAAACGGCCCTGTCTCTTAAATGTAGCATTCTGAAAACCTGCAGATGCCTCGAGTCGAAACCTGAATAATTTGTAGACCTTGATATCATGATTGCTCTCAGCTGCACCAGAAGGTTCTTCTTTTTTTCCCTCCTAGTTTCTTCTTTCTGTGGCATGGTATAGGTTGCGTTCAGATCATACATACCTCCTTGTCTACATATTTTCTTGCCCGGTTTCCTGGCACAATCCTTGGATATTCTTTTGACTGTAAAATGAATAAAAGACTAAAGAATAACATGGAGCCCCTGGACGCGCAACGCACACAGGAGCTGGCATGCACACACACACGCACACGCACACACATACACACACACACACACACATAGCTGAGAGGAAGGAAAGGGAGAAATAAAGATGGAGGGAAAGAATGAAATAGACCAGTTGGCCAGCCAGTCATTCAGCCAGTCATTCAGCCAGTCAGCCAAATCAATCGGTGATGGTCATGACAACGACTGTCTTGTTTAATGAACTGCAGCCATTGTGGCTTGGCACAATATGCTATGATGAGCTACAGTAATGAGGAGAGGAGAGGAGGGAGTCTGCAGAGGAGAGCAAACAAGGCAATGAGGAGAAGAAACAGTAGGGTAGAGGAGGAGGGAAAGATGGAAAACGGAAGGAAGAAGATGGAGGCAGTGGAATGAAAGGATTAACTGGTCTTCATGGATGTCACACACACAACCACTCTTTCACACACTCATGTTCTATAAGCAGTGTCATGCACATTAAACGTGCACAATGTCATGCTTTCCCTCTACTGACGGACAGACAGACAGACAGGGTTCAAAACCCTCCGCCCACCAGCCCCACAATCATCCTGCCCCGGGCCCGCAGGCTAACTCACCATCCTCAGTGGGGACGTAGATGTTGATATAGAGGCAGTCCTCGCTCTGGTCCTGGACGTATGTGGACACAACGTCGATGCTGTTGGTGAACCACACCGGCAGCATCACGTCCGGCAGGCGGCCCTCCACGATGCTCTGAGGGCACACCGGGGCAAAGTGCGTGGCGTTGCGGATCTCCGGCCATGACACCGGTGGCTCTGGTGGCTGAAAGCGGCGCTCGCCGGTGGGCGGGGCAGCGTACGGAACGCCCAGGAACTGCACGACGGGACCCAGGATCTCGTTGTTGAGCTCCTTCTTAACGCCACGCAGCTTGCCATACGTGGTGGTGACCACCGGGTCGTTCTCGTCGAGTTTCTGAGCCGACACAGCAGTAGGAGATGCCTGCAGCAGCAGCATCAGTCCCAGCCCTATTAGAGAGGACACCCACCGACCACTGCTTAAGGAACCTTCAAGCCTTACGTATCCCATCAGCCTGCTCTTACTCTTGGCAGTCTGGAGTAGCTGACAACCAGTCCTTGAATGGTGCCTCCACTGGGACATAGTTGCGACTCCTTGTTTTCAACTTGTTTGCTGTGTCTTCTTTTGTCCTCTTTGAGTGAAAAAGAATCCTTATTTTCTATCCCTCACTTACGCCATGCAGATGCAAACACAAACAGACAATCACACTAAAACCACATTCGCACACAAGCATAAGTAGGGGAAAACTCCGGAGCAGAAGAGGTCGTGGTTGCTAATGATCCTTTTTAAAATCCAGGCAGTGCAAACCACCCGGTGGAAATGTAACAGCCATCAGTTACCTACAGTTCAGTTGAAGGGAAATCTGAGAACTATTCCTCACGATACGGACAATATTCCTCAAAAAGGTCCGGCCAATGAGCACTGCGATGAAGAAGAGAACAGCAAGGATGTCGTCTTTAAGCTCCGCTTGTCAGAAGGTACACAAGCCAATCAGGGATGAGGGTTTCCATCATTTAGAGGTGACTGCCGTGTACAGGAGCAGGAGTAGTCGTGCAGTGGGTAAACTTGTAGTCCGTCCCCTACAACACAGAAACAAAATTACAATCAGCATTCCCACAAAGACAGCGAATGATATTCTCAATTCAATCCCCTTCATTTTCTTGCCTGCTGCTAGACAGTAAAATATCAGCAATTAGTAGGAGGGCCATTTGATTTGTGTTACACCCCGATGCACAAGCATCAATCAGTTTAAGAGGAACATAACATCTATTTATAGCACATGACAGTAAGTGTAACAAGCAAGGTGATTGTCAGTATGCTTGGCGACAGATGTTTGCAGGTTATGGTGGAGACACCCGGTGCTAGTGGGTGGGGATAGTTTTGGGAGAGAGCCATAGACTTGGATGCATACTCCCAGCAGCAACACGATGGTATAAACTACAGGCGTGGAGAATTTATCAAATACTAAATCCTATCATAAACATACAATCGTTTCTACGTGCAAATATTGTGGTTTGAGTAAGAATTTATAAAAAAATATCGGTGTTGATGTTTTACAGTGAGGCTTAAATACAAGACAGTATGAGGATGTGGTACTTTGATGAAATTATACAATGATTTCTGTATTCAAAATCAAAGTTGAATATGGTTGACACTTCAATCTCATCTTTTATGGCAAAGTTTTCTGGTTAGCTGCTTGTCAACAGTTTTTCTTGCTTCTAAGAGAGTTGGGCCAGAGGTCTTAAGGGAAACTCACTCCTGTGGTATATGCTGCACCTGAAATCAGCCACACCTATTGGTTTCAATGTGAACCCACACATGTCAGCCTTTTCCTTTGTCCAATTTCCCAGTGTTGACATGTATCTCGTGAGAGACATGGCTATCATATGATGCAACACACTGCACCTGTTACATTTAATTAATGTTGCTACCGCCGGTAGACAAGAAAAACATATCTTCTTTATACAATGCATGTGTTTTGTAAGAGAAAACCCAAATCACTATCAGCATTTGATCAATTTGGTGTCATAACATTTGGAAAGTCTAAAAGACCTGCACTGTTCAGTCTTTGTATCCTCATATCGTCCAGGCCAACGCAGGGAGCTCGTCATCACTTGAGCAGGAAATGTCAGCTGTTCACCAGTAAATTTAATTTCAATCAGTAACATCTTTTTTTAATCTGAAAAGCCTGTACAGTTAACAATATGCACAAAAGTAGTGAACATATCTATAAAAAGTGAGGTTAGTAAAAAAAGGTCCGCTAAGACAAGGAAGCAAATGAACTGAAATAAATACAAATGATATCTCGCCTTAAAGAACCAGACAAGAGGAATTTTAGTAGGACATCTATATGCTTGTGCATGCATTTGTGTGTGGCTGTATGTGTGTGTGTGTGTGTGTGTGTGATGTAGAACAGTTATAGTTTTTTCATCTGCAGGATGTGTCTTTTTTACACTTTTCTACTGCTTAAGAGTCAATGTTCCACCTGGATGAGCTTCAGATTTCATACTCTGAGGAAATCCCATTCAGCTACAGACACACACATTTAAACGCACACACACACACGCTGACATGACAAGTTTTTGTTGATAAAAAAACACACTATTTACACACACACACCAAGAGACAAGGGCGATATGATGCTCACATTTATATGTGAGAGCACACGCCCTATTGTCCTCACAGTAGTGAACACACACACACACACACACACACACACACACACACACACATCCCAGACAGAGAGGTGGGAGTACAGATGTTTACAACATCAGCAGCAGGAAAACCATAATGGGCAGAAAAGGAGGAAATAGACAGGAGATATAGATCATGTTTGTGTGTGTGTGTGATATACAGACAAGAACCTAACACTGAGTGCATGACAGTGTTTGATCGTGGATCATTTAGATATACCAAAGCATATGATATGCATATAACGAGGTAATTAGAGAACCATGACAGGAACAGGAGAATGGTAGAACATGAAACTAAGTATGTGTTAATCTATCTCACACACACACACATTTCAAGAAATACAAAAGGACTAACTGGTGGGTCTTATTGCAGAGTTCTACTGTTTGCAGTATATTTTCTGTAACTGAAAGCTTATTTGCATGTAACAAAAGCTCGGTTTTCTGAGAGTATTTCAAAGTCTTCTATAGTTGGATTCACTTCAAATCTTTCCAAACTTTATCAATTATGTACACCTGGTAGGAACATGCATCTTAGGCGATTCGAAGGGTGAACAACCAGTGAGGCGTTTAGGAATTTGATCACCCGAAATCACTGGCCGAGGTGTTCTGGAAAACATTTGACCGCGAATATTTTGGAGTGCTTATGCATCCTAATGCATCAACCCGAACAAGGACGTAGCTGTAAAATACGTCAAAGCTGTAGCTCTCCGTTTGTTCCTCCTTTTTCTCGTCTCCAGTTGGTTCAGAAATTGTGTACAGCAAGCTGGCTTCGTCCACCATGCCTGGACATTTTGAAAAGCCCATAGAAATAATTACGAGTGCTTTTATCTTTTTCTTTTCATTCCCGGCAGATCAGACAAGGGAGATTGTCTGCGGGTTAAAACAACAAGGCATTTGGTCTCAAACGGATGTGATGTTTGTGTTTATATGAATATAGAGTGGAAAAGTGAGATCCAATCACAAGTAGTCCCTGTAGACGCATGTGTTGACACATTCTAATGCCAGATGTGAAGGGAAGTGATTCGATCTGTCCACATGTTGATGCCAGGTGTACACAGAGTCGAAGACCACTGTGAGTGATTCACAGCAATCTGGTCTTATAGATATATTACAAAGATTATTAACAGAACATTTTTATGTCTGAATGAACATTTATATTTTTGTGCTGCATTGTAATCCCCCCCAACCCCCCACCCCTCCCCTGTCTCACTTCTGGAACTAAACCCACATCCTTGCTCTCCACTGTATGTATCGGTGTGTTCTGACTCCTCCCCTGCCTGGCCCTGTTTGGCTGCTCTATGTGTGTGTCCAATTCTGCCAGCATGGACCTAAATTCACTAGTGACGCTCATGTGCTCTATTCCTGTTTGAAGTCAGGGGAGTGGAGGTTTTAATGAGGAACATGGCTGCACCATCAGACTGCACAGTAAAATCGAATATTTTAGAAGAAATTTGAACAGATAGAAATTTAAAGAAAACAATTCACTCCAAAACCAGACCCAGCAGCTCTACTCAGCGGGTGAACACTGATGTAACAGCCAAACATGAAAGTGGCAGAGGACTTTTATTTTGAAGAACAGCTAGAACGTGACCTCATAAAAGCAACAGCGCCTCCGTTAAAGAAGAAGAAACAGATAGCGGCAGTGCAGAGAGCTGGAGGAGGACTGAGTAAACACGGCGAAAGCTACTCTAATGCAGCCGCAAAGTAGAGAGAAAATAAATGAAACCAAAGTCTGTCAACTACCATGGGGAATTAGGACCACTGTTAGAAAAACACAATAAAAGATATGTGGATTTAGAGAATTAGGTCTGAATAGAATAGGTTGCTTGGAGTCATATATGTTATAGCATAGTCTATAAGCTATTGTAGCCTCCAGTTGTTTTGACTTGTAAAAGTCTGCAGTGCATTTCGCTGGTCTTTCCTCGATGCTCAGCAAACTTTATCGGTGGTGGTGAAGTTGTGGACAGTAAACTACACGGTGGTGAGATGTTTGCCTGATCACAAGTGCTGCTGGTTAGTTGCGGTTTTCCATCTCTAACACAGAGCAGTGCACAGCTGCTTCACTAAACGTTGTTCTCATTCTAATATCTAAAATCATGCTGAAACACTTACGAGCTATAAAACTCAAGTTATAAAAAATTATTTAATTTAATAAATGACTGCATTTTACTCCACTATATTTAGATATTTTGAAGTGTCACCTTGAATTGCACCCGACTCTTGTGTTTTCCTTTTAAAGACACCATAAACACCATAAACTAGAAATCAAGTGATGCTCTAAACTTCCTTGTTTATCATATATTTATCATACTTACATCTTTATTTTGAAATGATGTCTTTGTACTATTGCACTGTGTGTATTGCCACGCCCCTCTCACCAAGTCAAATCCTTGTGTGTGCAAACATCTTTAAACCGTTTCTGACTGTGATGGTCTCAGCTGAGAGCCTGGCTGGATTGTCACCAGCTTGCTGGGTCGTCCAGGTGCAGTGAGTGTGTGTGCAACACACACATTCACTGTTTGCTTCTGGCATGGTGCCAGCTGAGTTGTGGCAGGGCTGTGTCTGGTTTCCTTCTGTGTTTTTTAAATTTGACTTTCAATCATCATATACAAACAGGTACATCCATGAAATATGACCTCTGCATTGTAGGAGCAGTGGAGTGGACTGCTGTAAAGTGCCAGTGAACTACTTGGTCTTCAGTGTTTCGGTATCTCAAGGACACTTTGACATCGATAGGGATCGGGACTGAACAACCAACCTTGTGTTTAAAAACGACCCGCTCTACCTACTGGGCCAAAGCTGTCATGTTGGGAGTTGGGAGTGATAAAGAATTGGTTCAAAAATAGCACAGTATGGTTGATAAGTCGGCTCCACAGACTTTGTTTAGTCAAATTCCCAATAATGACAGGACAAGTTCTTCCTCCAACACACTCTTATAAATACTTTTTTTTTAAATCCTCAAACGTCCAAGATGTTTAAAAAAAAAAAGAAATGTGTGTACAAGGTTTCATACCTGCTGACACATGAACAGACACACAAATATCTTGCTGAAGTGAATCTGTACATCTGTGCTCTTGGGTAAAAGGAATCATTTTACAAAAAATGAATACATTTAATATATAGTTTGACTTTTAATATCATGAACATTGATCACATGTAAAAATGATTAAATATATATCCAAAAAGAAGAGCTTAAAGCAACATTCAAAAGCACTTTAATTGTGTATTTGAAAGCATTACAATCCATATTCATCGTGTGAAATCATGTCAGCTGCCATGTTGATGCCAGAGGATAAACTGCTTGGTCGGCAGTTATTCTTATTTGTTCAGGGACACAGAAGAATTGCCTACGAAACCTATTTTACTTTTAGCAAACTGAAGTATGCTAAATGGTCCCTCATGTCAAATGAGGAAACCATGGAAAATACCCACATTCTCTGCATATGATGGAAAATTACAACAGATTCAAATGCAGCAACTCAGAGTTTTGTTTTTAGTTATTTTACAGAGATTTATTGATTTGTGTTTTTGCTGTGGACAAGACTCAGTTGTAGATGGATATGTGGCATTCTTCTGAGCAACAATCATGTTTAGCAATATTTGGAGATTTTGATTGCTGCTTATTTAGTCATGCAAATGTAATGTTGTAGAGAATTACTCAATCTTTGAAAGCATGTTTTCCCAGGCATTAAACAGAGGGTTGAAATACTTTTTGTTTTAATTGTACTTCAGTGATTCAGCGTTGCATTTCCACAACATTGTCGGACTCACGATGGACAGTCTTAAAAAAGAGAAACATGTATGCAGCAGAACCAGAGATATCATCTTTTATATTACCTGCATTCTTCTTCCTTATCAAAACATAGCACCCACTTTACCCACAATCCAACTCGACTGCCAACAGTTGCTTCAGCGATTTGGGGGAGTTCTGCCAGCAGCAGCTGAGCAGCCGTGGGCCTCTAGCCTGCAGCAGAGATGGGCAGCGGGTTTTTATCAGACTTGTAGTCCTTAGCCACAGTGACATCATTTGAGGACAGTTATCACACTTCACACATTTTCCCCTGAAGTCATAAAAACGTTTTTTTTAACACATATGCAGTATTACTTTACACCTGAAAACAGACTTTGATGTAAAGTTATAGAGCTATAAACACGTAAAACTGATAAATTAGCATATCAAGAAGTAAATATCTTCCCTGATATGCTAATTTACACCCACAAGACACTAGACATTGTTGACCAAGTGGCTTGCAATAAAAATGTGTAACCCTAAAATGTGTGAAACTACATTAGAAACCGGGGAAGATATAATATTTACATAGGTAGCCCTTTTTTGTCATGTCAGATAGGATTAGGGTTAATAAATAAAAAATTAATGTGACACAGAATATGAGAGTAAATGTCTTTCTCAGGTGGGCAATTTTTTCAGTTTAAGCCTGGGGATGTGACAGTTTGTATCTGCTGATGTTATCTTTTCCCGGAGGCCTCTTGGGATGCAGGCAGCAGTCAGTCAAGTGGCAACAGCGTGGGGGAGAGGGTGAAGCATTAAGGGAACAAACAATTTAAGTTTTCCATCCATCAGCTCAGAAACAGGGACATAAATCCCTATTTTTCTCCACGTAAAGCATCTGTTGAGTCGGACTAAGTAATGCTAGACGCTGTGCCTCTCTCCAATCGAACCATACAGAGGAGCAACAGGTGTGAACTCAAAGCACACGTGTTGATGAAGCTGACAGTCCTCCCAGCCCAGGCAGCCACACTGGCACTGAGTGCCCTCCCACCCGCTCCTCCCAGAAATCGTATTGCTAAACAAACCGCTGCTGGTCGACCACGGC